CGGTTTGGGCTTTTTGTTGAGTCCGTGTGTTTTAGTTTTTGTAGGGCTTAAGATAAAAGTTGTGTGTCCTTATGATTAAAATTTAAGCCCTTTTTATTAAATAATAGTTTAGGATGGTTTTTCATTAAAAAAAAGTTAGCCCAAAACCTTTTCGTTAAAGCTCCCTTTCTTTTATTCACAAGCAACGAAGAATTATACCAATTCCTCTTAGGAGACATAAGGCAGCCGCGCCCTTCTCCCCCCCCCCCCCCCCCCGCGGAAAAAAAAAAAAAAAAAAAAAAAAACGTAATTAGGTTGACTTATCCAATTCCTTATAGGAGACATAAGGCGGCCACACACCCCCCCCCCCTCCCCCCCCCAAAAAAACAACGTAATTAGGTTGACTTATCTTTGCTCAATTCAATTAGGAACCTAATCATCACGTGACGGCTTATCATAACTTGAGCTCAATAGTTCACACAAAGTAAACTGACATCCATCAGTCCAAAATAGATTAAGGAACATAAAGCTTCAATGGACTGGTTCATAATAAGCCTAAATCATTCAAATTTAGCACTAGTTAAAATAGCGCACATGTGCAATTCGGCAATTGTCAAGATTTCTCCAATTTAAGCCTTCAATTTGATATGTTGTTTACAAATTATATTTTCTACAAAACTCGCACAAACACACATTAAACCCAACAATTGAATATAAAACCATGACTAAATAATAAAAAAAGAGATATAAATTATATGTAAAATATCAACCTCACAAGAGTACCAAAATCCAAACCCACAAATTCGGCATTGGGTGGGAAAGCAGTGAGAGATGAAGTTCATATCTCTTTCTTACTTCAAGAGGTATATGAAGTAGCTTCAACAATGAAAAATAGAGCAAAAGACTTAAAGCAGCAAGTTGAGCGAGCTATCTTCAAGTGATGGAAACCCCCTTTCTCAAGCTTTAATTCTTCCCTTCCTTTGGACTTTTGCCTCAAACCCCATCTAACCTTCATGAAGAAAGTTGAAATTCCACCATAGAATCAATTGGCAATATGGGGAGTAGCCCAACTACTTATAAGCACATGTAAGGTCCCTCTTCTCATCAATATAGGATTCATTCTCAACACGCTCTCTCAAGTGTCGTAAATTTTCAAGTCTAAAATGTGGACAACACGAATAGGATGATGTGGAGCTCATGTGGCAGTTGAACTTTACACGTGGGACAACATGCTCTGATACCATGAAGAAAGCTAAGGTTCCACCATAAAACCAATTGGCAATATGGGAAGTAGCCCAAATACTTATAAGCACATGTAAGATCCCTCCTCTCATCAAGATTCATTATCAATACTTCAATTTCCATCTTCACCAAAATTCAACCATTTTTATCTCACAGCCATTTCAAAACCCAGCAACCATGGATGTTCATCTCTCTCATGTCAAACTTATAGCCTATTAGCTCCCACACCGCAAATCATTTAGGTAAGTCATAATTTATTGTTACAATTATTCATTGATTGTTAGTTGAAGCTGTCAAGATGGACCGTTTGCATGTAAAAGCAAGGACAAGTTTGGAAAAGCCATGGGCTAAAGCCTAAGTGAGATATTGCAGGAAAGGTAATAACACTACTATGTTTAGCTATTAGCGCGACGAACAGAAATTGGTTGCTTAAAGCATATTTCCGTCGCACGAACGTCTATGCGATGAAAATTTCATTGCGCAAATATCGTGAAGAAAGTCAGTTTGTGCGACGAACAAAAACATTGGTCGCAAAGCAGGCGCGACGATTTTACTTTCGTAGCATAAATTTTTAGGAACGAATGTATTCGTTGCACAAAATGCCAAGATACATACATGGGACAACTAATTTTCATCTCTAAAAACTTTGCACGATGATAAGTTATTCTTGCACCATGAAAATGGAGGGAGGTTGGTCGTGCCCCCGCCCGCAGGGGGGGGGTAGGGGGCGGACGAATTGGGTTTGGGGTTTTTTTTTTCCTTTTTCTCTTCTTCCTCCCTCTTCTTCTTCTTCCTCTTGCTGTTGCTGCAAGTTTTTTTTTTTTTTTTTTCTTCTTCTTCCTCCCTCTTCTTCTTCTTGTTCTTGCTGCTGCAGCAGGTTTTTTGGGTTTTGGGTTAAGGATAGGGATGTGGGTCGCTGGCGGGGGGCGACGGATAGTTGGTTTCGTTTTTTTTTTTTCTTTTTTTGAGAAAATTCAAGTTTTAAAAAAAAAATTAAAAAATTATTTTATTTGCCACGTGGTAGACATTTGGCAGCCACGTCAGCATTTAGCATATCAATGGATAGAAAATGTAATAGAGGTATTATTTTGAAATAAAACAGTACTTAAGGTATGAAAGTGAAATGTTTTGAAGATGTTGCAAGGAATTGAAATAGACCCCAAACCTAAGGTATGAAAGTGTAATTTACCCTTAAGTTATTTAAGCAAAGCAACCAACATATGAGGGCAAGAAAATACTATTTAAAGGTTATAAGAAAACGAGCAGCTATCAAAGTGAAGTAAAAATATACCATTTTGCAGAAACATTGCTCATTCAATGAATCCAAAGCATGCAAACTTACATATTATTGTAAAATCACTGAGAACATCCGAAATTTTATGGTACGTTCCTTTGTTTCTTCTCTGTTGCTTTTATTTTCCAATTTTTTTTTGTGCGTTTTCGTCTGGATGCAAATCAGAAAACTCTAAACTGGAAACATAATTCATTTTTTAGAATCGCAAACATGTAAATGTACATATTTAGTAAATTAAAGTAAGAAATCATCAAGAATATCAAAATTTATAGCTTCGTACCTGTGTATGTCAAATTTCGACATTGAAAATATACAGTTCGAATGTTTTCAGTTTTTCGTCTTCAAATGGAGCTTCTGGGTTGAGAAATTCCGGATTTGATGTGTAGATTATTGTTTGAAAACTTGAATCGAACTTGAAAATGCTTCGAGATCTTAACGCTTCGAGCAATGGAGGTTTCAGTTTTTTTGGTACGGTGTGGAGGGGTTGGTGAACATTAATGGTGTTGGAGGGATGATGAATTTTAGTAACTGCAACTTTGGCTAACGGGCTTGGGTTAGGCTCCATGAGGGGCAATTTTGGAATATTAATTGTTATGCGGTTTGGGCTTTTTGTTGAGCCCGTGTGTTTTAGTTTTTGTAGGACTTGAGATAAAAGTTGTGTGTCCTTAGGATTAACTTTTAAGCCCTTTTTATTAAATAATAGTTTAAGGTGGTTTTTCATTAAAAAAAAGTTAGCCCAAATCATTTTCGTTAAAGTTTTTTTTTTTTTTATTCACAAGCAACGAAGAATTATACCAATTCCTCATAGGAGACATAAGGCAGCCCCGCCCCTACGTAATTAGGTTGACTTGTCTTTGCTCAATTCAATTAGGAAACCTAATCACCACGTCACGACTTATCATAATTTAAGCTCAATAATTCACACAAAGTAAATTGACATCCATCAGTCCAAAATAGATTAAGGAACATAAAGCTTCAATGGACTGGCTCGTAATAAGCCTAAATTATTCAAATTTAGCACTAGTTAAAATAGCACACGTGTGCAACTCGGCAATTGTCAAGATTTCTCCAATTTAAGCCTCCAATTTCATGTTTTGTTTACAAATTATATTTTCTACAAAACTCGCACAAACACACATTAAACCCAACAATTGAATATAAAACCATGACTAAATAATAAAAAAAGAGATATAAATTATATGTAAAATATCAACCTCACAAGCGTACCAAAATCCAAACCCACAAATTCGGAATCGCGTGGGAAGGCAGTGAGAGATGAAGTTCATATCTCTTTCTTACTCCAAGAAGTATATGAAGTAGCTTCAACAATGAAAAATAGAACAAAAGACTTAAAGCAGCAAGTTGAGCAAACTATCTTCAAGTGATGGGAACCCCCTTTCTCAAGCTTTAACATTTGCTTCAAACCCCATCTACCTTCATGAAGAAAGTTGAAATTCAACCACATAACCAATTGGCAATATGGGGAGTAGCCCAACTACTTATAAGCACATGTAAGGTCCCTCCTCTCATCAATATAGGATTCATTCTCAACACGCCCTCTCACGTGTGGTAAATTTTTAAGTCTAAAATGTGGACAACACAAATGGGATGACATGGAGCTCATGTAGCTGTTGAACTTCACACGTGGGACAACATGCTTTGATACCATGAACAAAGTTAAGGTTCCACCAAAACCAATTGGCAATATAAGAAGTAGCCCAAAACTTATAAGCACATGCAAGATCCCTCCTCTCCTCAAGATTCATTCTCAATACTTCAATTTCCATCTTTACCAAAAATTCAACCATTTTTATCTCACAGCCATCTCAAAACCCAGCAACCATGGATGTTCATCTCTCTAATGTCAAACTTATAGCCTTTTAGCTCCCACACAACAAATCATTTAGGTAAGTCGTAATTTATTGTTACAATTATTCATTGATTGTTAGTTGAAGCCGTCAGGATGGACCGTTTGCATGTGAAAGCAAGGACAAGTTTGGAAAGGCCATGGGCTAAAGCCTAAGTGAGATATTACAGGAAAGGCTACTACGTTTAACTATTAGCGCGACGAACAAAAATTGGTCGAACAAAGCGTATTTCTGTTGCACAAACGTCTGTGCGATCTGTGCGATGAAAATTTCATCGAGCAAAGATCATGAAGAAAGTCACTTTGTGCGACAAACAAAAACATTGGTCGCAAAGGAGGAGCGACGGTTTTACTTTCGTAGCACAAATTTTTTAAAAACAAATATATTCGTCACACAAAATGCCAGGATACATACATGGGACGACTAATCTTCATCTCTAAAAACTTTGCGCGACGACAAGTTATTCTTGCACCATGAAAATGGATTAGTTGCCAAAAATTATGCAAGACAAAAGTAATTGTCGCACAAAAATAAAACATATTTCTATTTAAATTTATTTTTTTGTTATGGTTTTAATTTTGTAATAAAACAATGGCAGAGAATTTAGAGAGAGAAAGTGAATGAATAAAGATTGTATTCCTTGAACAATGAATGAATTACAAAGAGAGAGAGAGGGGGAGAGAGAGAGAGAGGTGTTTGTTATTTATACAAGTGTTCTTTGCTTCACTCATCAACTACTAACCAACTAACTTCCTTATATCCCTACAAATCCCAACAGACTAACAGCCTTCCTACAATCTCAACAGACTCATATTGATGTGTACATATCAATCAATAAACCCATAGCCTGAAGCAATAACTTCATGTTTCTTGAATATTCATCTAATAAAAGGCTATTTGAGACAAGACTAGATCTTGAAGATAATCTAATGTGTCGCAACAACATACATGGAGACCTATAAAACGAAAAGCAAAGAACATTGGCAAGTCATAATAAAAAAGAAAAACTACACAAATCACAATCAGAAAAGTTTTAGATACATAACTTCCTAATGAATTTTAGAGCAGTTCTAAAGCCATAGACAAAGTAAAGTTTCACAAACCTAGTTGCACAAATCTTGACAAAACCCAGTAATTAACAAATCAAAGCTGATGGCAAATAGACCCAAAAATTTTCGATGTTTAATCAACCCAGAAATTTTGCACCCAGTAATTAACAAATCACATTTTTTTTAATGTTCAATCAACCTAGAAATTTTGCAAGTTGTAGTACACACAAGGAGAAAGTATTACCAAAAGTGCATCACCTAACCTAACTCGAAGGTGCTCTTATTAGAACTTTTGCAGGTTTCAGTACTCCCCCAATATGATTCCCATATACTCCTTTGAGGCATTTAATCAAACAACTTGGAGGCCAAATATGCATAGTACCCACAAAAGTGGTAAGTGAGAGTCACAAAACAAAGATAAATTGTGATTCCCGTTTCAATCAACAATCATAAGTTCATTTTTGAAACATACAACGCAGGAAAAAAAATTATTTAGAGTTTGGAAGAATTGAAAAGAAAATTTTCAAGGTTTGGGTGAAAAATCATATCTGAGACATTTCAGAGACTCAACTCGCTCCAAACTATCATTCCAAAAAATCCAAGTAGCAAATTGAAAGAAAAGGGTTGTATGCTACACCTGAAGTGAGAGAGAGTGAGAGAGAGAGAGAGAGAGAGAGAGAGTGTTCTTGGTTAACAGTGTCCCAGATCTGAGCCTTGACACTCCTGGCCAGAATTTGAGACTTGCCCACAACAGAGTCTCCCATCAGTACCACCTTGAACACATAGTCTACCCCATGATTTCAATTGAATCAGATAACATTGTGAGGAAAAAAAAAAAAAAAAGAGATTGGAATTGGATGCAGAGATCGAACCTGGAGATGCAGAGCTTTGAGAAAATGGAAGGAAGATGACAGGGAAAGGATGGGGAGGAAGGTTGCAAGAGACCTGGGAGATACAATGTGGTGGCAAAAAAGATGTGGTTTGTTTCGTGATTTTGATGGTGTAAATATTGAAAAGATAAGGGGCATTTTTGACTTAAAATGTTATAATTTTGTGTTCCACAAGGGTGGAACGAGTTGTTCTAAGAGGGAGAGACGGAACAAAAATTCACCAAAACTTGTCCTTTGGAACAACGTGTTCCACTTGTTTGAGGCGCACCAAATGTGGGATGGAACTCCTTATCCCACTCCGTTCTGTTCCGTTTCACGTACCAAACGGTACCACAAGTAGGCCTCAAATAACAAGGAAATTGTCAGTTGAAAGACTTCACCTTTCCTTGAACCCAACCATGTGAAATTCCAATCTGTTATATCAACATTTATCCAATCAGATACTGTATAATAGATACTGTATTAAAAAAATTTTAAAAAATAAAAAAACTCTCTCTGATATTTTCTGATGCTCGATAGGTTTATCTTTTTCATCTTCTTTGTAGATTTTTTTTTTAAGAGAAACCAGAAATCCAGTAGGGCGTGAAAGGCTGCTATATGGTGTAGGAAGAAGAGTGGGGAGATAAGAGGAAATTTTTTGAGTGGTTGGATCAATCTAACAGTATATATTAATTGATGGGAAACTTAATTTGAGAAATTTAAATATAATAAATTAAAGAATCATATACTATAATTTTACTACTATGCGAGATTTGAATGATAGATAATGTCACTCAGCATAATCTAGTGGGAAGTTAAGTTCAATACAATCTTTCTTGATAAGTATTGCCGGGAATGAATGAATATGGGCAAATAATTAAAAGGGAATCATTTCTACGTAAATATGCTGATTCGGTTTGCCGATATTTAATATTACATTTATTATTGATATATTCATTCACGGGAATACTTATCAACAATAAATATAATATTAAATATCGGCAAACCGAATCAGTATATTTACGTAGAAATGATTCCATTCTAATTATTGGATAGTGAGAGTATTGTCCACGATTAATAATTCGATAGCAACACGGCAAAACCTTGCATCACCCTTAAGGTCCTATAATCAACCACCTGCTTTTTTTCCTCAAAACCTTGCCTCTGTCCTTGATCAACCATGTTCATCGTGAAAGCAATATGATAGCGCATTGCCTTGATCGAGTGGGAATTGATAGTACCCAAGAGATTATGCGGTTTGAGGAATCTCCGGATTTGCTTGAGATATTTTGTTCAAATATGTATCGTAATTTGCCTATGTATTGTTCATTTGAGGATAGGTTCTCTTGCTGCGAGACACTCCTTTTCTATTAGAAATTCCTAGCAAAGTTTTTTTTAGGCCCATCATACACACGCTTCTCAGTTTGCATGCTTTTTGATATGCTTAATGAACATTTCTTAAAAAAGAGAGTAATAATAATAATAATTCGATAGTGAGTATTATCCCAATTTGGGTATGAAAATCATCATCACAAACAACTGTGCATGTTGCCAACTATAATTCGTATCGTTATGGCGCGTCGGCTCCAAGTCGGTTCAAGATAACTGCAAATTGCAAATTGTCGTTCATGATTTCAACAACCGGCTATGTTGACTTTTAAATTAATGCTGGTAAATTATACATTCTGTCATCGACCGTAAAAACTACAGTCGGATTTATTGACTTCCACATTGCTTAAAAATTAGTCGGTTAATTTATACGCGGACCCTTTACTCTATAAAAATATCCTAATAAACCCTTCTCTCCCCACCACCACACCATTTCTTTCATTTCCATTAGTTTTTGTGCTTGCGTTTGTGTTTTGATTTCAAAAAAATGGTTTCGATTACTTTGGCAGAAAAGCCGCATGCAGTTTGCGTACCATTCCCAGCTCAAGGTCACATAAACCCTATGCTCAACGTAGCCAAACTCCTCCACTTCAAAGGCTTTCACATAACCTTTGTCAACACAGAGTTCAACCACAAACGCCTCCTTAAATCCCGAGGTTCCAACTCCCTTGACGGCCTTCCCTCTTTCCAGTTCGAGACCATTCCCGATGGGCTCCCTCCAACAAAAGCCAATGTTACCCAAGACATACCATCTTTGTGTCATTCCACTAAGAAAACATGCTTGCCTCACTTCAGAGAGCTTTTGTCCAAGCTCAACTCTTCGCCCGATTCACCTCCTGTGAGTTGCATAGTTTCCGATGGTGTCATGAGCTTCACTCTTGATGCAGCTCAGGAACTAGGGATTCCCGAAGTGCTTTTCTGGACAACAAGTGCTTGTGGCTTCTTGGCCTACATGCAGTTTTACCGTCTCATTGAAAAGGGTCACACTCCTCTTAAAGGTTTATCTTGATCAAACAAAACAAAATCCTAACTACTTGTTTCTCTTGATATTTATTTATTTTTCCCTTCTGATAAATTTAACTTTAAGTTGCAGTGAGCGTTTTACATGCAATAATTATTATGTTGACACACTTTCTTCATTGACTTTGTAGATGCCAGCTATTTGACAAACGGGTATTTGGATACTGTGATAGATTGGATACCAGGAATGAAAGATATCCGATTGAAGGACATTCCAAGCTTCATGAGAACTACAGAACCCGATGACCAAATGCTGGATTTTATTCTGGTTGAGACAGAACGAGCAAAAAAGGCTTCAGCAATTATTTTGAACACATTCCATGACTTTGAACGTGAAGTTTTAGATGCACTTTCAACTCTGCTTCCGCCTGTTTACTCCATCGGACCTCTAAATCTACAAATCGGTCAGATTCCGGTGGATAAAGAGTTGAAGTCGATCAGATCGAACCTATGGATTGAGGAACCAGAGTGCCTTGAGTGGCTTCACACTAAAGAGCCCAACTCTGTGGTTTATGTTAACTTTGGAAGCATCACGGTTATGACAAATGAGCAGCTAACTGAGTTTGCATGGGGACTTGCAAATTGTAAGAAGACCTTTTTGTGGGTAATTAGGCCTGACTTAGTTGGTGGGGATTCTGCTGTGGTTCCTCAGGAGTTTGTGGAGGAGACCAAAGATAGGAGCCTAATGGCAAGTTGGTGTCCTCAGGAACAAGTTCTAAGTCACCCAGCTATCGGAGGGTTTTTGACGCACTGCGGATGGAACTCTACCCTTGAAAGCGTGTGCGGTGGAGTGCCAATGGTTTGTTGGCCCTTCTTTGCGGAACAACAAACCAATTGCAGGTTCAGTTGCAAAGAGTTGGGCATTGGGTTGGAGATTGAAGGCGATGTGAAAAGGAAATATGTGGAGGGGCTTGTGAGAAAGTTAATGGACGGGAAGGAGGGCAAAGAAATGAGAAAGAAAGCCTTGGAATGGAAAAAGTTGGCAAAGGAGGCCAGTAGTGGTCCTAATGGATTATCTTTTGTGGATTTCGACACAATGGTCAACCAGGTGCTTCTATCACAAAAAAAAATAGAGTGAAATGGTTAATCGCTATTTGTCGTTGCTTAATTGTCTTATGAGTTTAAATTCAGTTGTTAATTCCCATGTATAGGACCATATCTAGTTTCATTGTTGTAATTTTTATTGATTTCAATGCAGTAAAATCATTCTATTCACATTCAGGTATGTCTAAAGTGTTCTTTGACGTTTGTCTTATCGTTTTAGTATGTGCCATGAAGGAAATCCCCTCACATGCGGGGGTCTTAAAAAAGTTTTATTTACTTTTAAAACAAAAGTTGCAAAAAAAATCCCTTGCAACTATCTATTAGGATTGAATTAATCTTATTCACTAATCGTGATAATTGCATATTTAAAATAAATAAAACAAAAGTTTTGATGACTAATTAGATATATAAAGAACTAAATGCAAATAAAGGTAACAATCAATTGAAAACAAAGCAAAAGTGAATTAACACTAAGAACCGGTTTCATTAGACCAAAAATCCAACCTGAAATCTGTAGTATATTAACCCTAATTATTACTCATGTTGACAATTGATTTTTCCTAAATTATTTGTTATCTATTTCCAATCTCAACCAAAAGAATTCTGATTAACAACTCATTCTCTTCCGAGCATTAGAAAACCAAAAAGCCGTAAAAAACTGCATGAATCATGTTAGTCCATTCCTGGCACTTAATTAAGACATAACATATGTTACAAGGAGCCATATATTATATATCTCCTTCGGTCTCAACCTAATTCTTCTAATCAAACATATAGTGGGCAATTAATTGCAAGAATTAAGAATAGTAACGAACATTCAACATGAAAAAAATAATAAAAAATTAAGATAACTATAAAATTATAAATTTCGAGCATTCAGCTAGGCTACATCTTATAGCTCGAACAAAAAAATATTTAGTTCATGGTAAATTTAAAAGACAACTAAATAAATTCGAAAACATAGAAAGAAAACAACCAATATTTTGATTTACCTTTAGTGTAGATAATATCGTTTGTCAAAAAAAAAAAAAAAAAAAAAAAACATAAGGCAGCACTGCCCCTACATAATTAGGTTGACTTGTATATTGGCCCGATTCAATTAGGAAACCTAATCACCACATCACATATCATACCTTCAGCTTAATAATTCACACAAAGTGAACCGATTGCCTCAACCCAAAATGGATTAAGAATAATGTTTCAGTGGACTGGCTCACAATAAGCCCAAATCATTCAAATTTAGTACCATTCCAAAATAGCTCATGCACACAACTCGGCAATTCCTCGAGATTTCTCCAATTTAAGCTTTCAATTTCATGCTTGTTTACAACTTATATTTTCTACAAAACTCGCCCAAACACACATGAAACCCAACAATTTAATGTCAACCATGACTAAATAATAGAAAAAGAGGCATAAATTATATGCAAATTAACAAGAGTACCAAAATCCAAACCCACAACTTCGGCATCGTGTGGGAAAGCAGTGAAAGATTAAGTTCATATCCCTTTCGTACTCCGAAGAGGTATGAAGTAGCTTCAACAATGAAAAATAGAACAAAAGACTTAACGAAGCAAGTAGAGTGAGCTACCTCCAAGTGATGGAAAACCCCTTAGTTCTCAAGCTTTAAGTCTTCCTTTCCTTTGATCTTTTGCCTCAAACCCCACCTAACCTTCAGTTTCCATTTTCTTTCGAGGTATTTCAGAGTTAGGTGGCGGAAAATAACTACGAGGAGTTAAGGTGTCTCATAGACCACAAAGTCTTTCTTGATCAAAGGGTCCCCAACACTCCCTAATTTAAATGGTAGCATTCAACTGCCTCACCATGGGCAGTGAGCATAGGGTCAATAGTGAATGCAAAAGAAATGGAGAAGCGGCTTTGGAAAATCTAGAGAAACCCACTAACTTCCACATTCTTTTTTGTTATAGGAATATTAGACTGTTGGAGTTTGAAAGATTATCAAAGGGAAAGATAGGTTTGGGTTACTGGTTGAGATAGAGGGGAGAAAGTAGGAGGATACATGTAGTAACTTAAATGTGAACT